GCATACCAAGCTTTCCGCAAGAAATGAGACATAAACTAAGCTGGATAAATATTTTGATGGATTTTAAATTTTCAATGACAATGCACAATTTTCATGAACTACTTCCACACATATGAGAATTAATAAAACTTCTCAGCTTTCCGCAAGAAATGAGACATAAACTAAGCTGGATAAATATTTTGATGGATTTAAATTTTTAACAGCTCGTGCCAAATATAATATTTTGGTAATTTGCAATGACAATGCACAACAGACAACAGAGTAGAGATTGACTGTACAGAAATGCAGCCAGAGTACCCTATTAAATTGTTTCAAAGCTTACATTAACCCTCCAAGTCTTGTCTTAGGCATTACTCTTACTGACCTAACATGGGACTGTTTAGTCTATTCAACAACTTTGGTGTGATATAAAGAAAAAGTCAGGTAAAATTAATTTTTGCTAATACGCCATTTAATTTATAATCTAACAATCTGTGTTCTGTAGGAAAAATCGTATGTTTCAAAAGGCTACATTAAAGTAAACTTTTGATTGAATATCTAGGTTAAAAGCATTGACCTAGATATTTTTATTTGGAATGACAGGTTAGAAACGAAACAACCAAACTGAGCGCCTTTCAGATTTATGGCCATCTCATTTCTAATATAAAAATCTGTTGTATGACACTTTTAAGAGACTTGTTTGGCCCGAGAAACCTGGCTAAATATTTATTTACTGGGTTCAAAAGCACATCAACACAACACTGGTTATACAGTTCTACAAATGACAAGATAAAGAAATGCAAAGTTTAACTTTTAAAAGATAAAGCCTTCCAAACTGACAAAGATCTGTTGTTTGTGCACTGGACTAGATAAAAACGTCCTACTATATCTCTTATTTTGCACCTAACTGCAGACAGTCAAGATCCTGTTATGGTATTGCAAAATGTGCTGCCAGATCAAGGCTATATGGTGTTCCATTTCTAACAGAACAATCATTTGTTGGTTGTTTGGATTTTAATGGTACTTTCAGTTCTTTATCTGACTGTATCATGCACATGAAATTGGAGACAAGCAACTTTCCCCAAGGGCCCACCCAGACAGGTTGACACACCCAGACAGGTTGACCCAGGATAAAATCAAACCTATGACCCTTGGATTACAATTCCAAGAATCTATCAACTCAACTAACATGGCTACTTTTCAGTACAACAGAACAGACCCTGATTTGTTGGCACATTCTGTAATGGCAGAAGCAAGACTATACAGTAACTTTCAATTGTGGATGCATTAAACACTGTTAAAACAGCACATCTATGGTGCACTAGAAGATGTAGGACACTATTTGTTACTTCAAGAAACAACAACACCAGAATCAGTGGAAGGTTAAGTATAAATGCAAGTCGAGGGAAATACTATCAATACATTTACAAGTCTTTATTGATATTATCAGCATATGAACCCTCAAGAGTAATGTGAATTTCAAATGTCAAAATCCGTAGTAAATCTTTCCAGACCTGCCAAACCTGACAAGTCTGTGTCAGTAAGGCAGTTGACTTTTTTCTTAAGTTTGACCAGTTTTCAGTAAGGTGCAAAAAAAATATAAACTGCTAGTGTAAAGCTAGAAAACTTAACAGTTCGGTATTCAATACATGCAGCGAAAATAAACATTATGTTCGACTGAAGAGATTGCAAAGTAGGCATAGACATTTTTTTACCATTAGTACAGTTGCACAAAAACTCAAGTTCTAGCCCCTAACCAGCTCAATGGCTTGTTGCTGTCTCAATGAGACACAATTCTTATCATTTTCCATTGCACATGATGAAATCATATCTCCCGCCACAACTCCTACTCAAATTGGCACGTGATGTATAAAAAATTTAATTGTGTCCTCTTTTATTCACAAGAATCTGAATATTCCTTTTTATTCTTTGGTGTTGATTATTAACACTTTGCAAGAGGCTTATTTTCCCTTTTGTCTTAAACATGCATTGCTTGCTGGACGCCATTTTTAAACAAATTCCATAATCAACAGTTGGATCATGCAGACGCTTCACATGAACAAATAGTGGCAGATTAAAGCATCTGATGTGCTGCTGTAAAGTTAGTCTGGTTCCCTGACGAATTTCACTAATTCTAATATGAAACCCGGATCCAAATCAAACACAGATGAACAAATTTTCCGGATTTTTCGGCAATTATATTTTTTTCATAGTTTTTGCCATAAGTCTGTATTTTAAGGGTAATTTTCGTAAGACTTATGGCAAAATCATAAGAGTTGGCAGGTCTGTCTTTCTGAGATGCCAACACTGGGCATACTTATCAGGAATCCTAGCATTAATTTTGTGTTTTTAAGGCAGTCAATAGGGAACTGATAATATGTTCATTAAAAGTAACAAACCTAAAATTATATTGCATCTTCCTATCAGCCTATACATTCCTATAAACAGCATGAATGATAATAATTCAGTGATGAAGTCTTACTGCAGTTCCAAAACCTAGAATTCCTTACACATATCTAGCCAAAACAATTAGCATAAACATTTCTCACAACAAACGATAATTGCATCATTCTTTTCCCTCCATCTCTGCTGCTGTCTGTCACATTACAATCAAAGCAACTGGGTCTAATTATGTACATGCCGGTTTGTCATTTTTTCGATCAATGTCAATCAGATTGATGATTTTTGTCCTCTGAAAAACTTTTGATAAAATGTTATCCCATAAAAAAATTGCTCTGGAATTGTGTGAGCATAAAATGAAATGCAGAATTTTCACTAACAATGTGAAATTCCACAAAAATCCAGAATGGTTGGCATCAATGCCATTTTGCTTATACTATATCAAAGATCTCCCATTACATATTATTTACAGATCAGGCCGCATATTATCTAAACTTGTGCATGAAACTCACCTTTTTCCAGTCCAAGTTCGCTTATGCATAATTAAGTAAGCAAACATCATAGACCCTAACTGGTCTTCACATTATCTGTCAGATCTGAGTCAATCCTGACTGCACCTGACAGTGCGCTGCACACATGCAAATATGGCATGCAAAACGGAGACCAATTAAGCAAACCAATCTAGTCAAGAACATTAAAATTTTAACTGACTAAACTCATCAAGACACATCAGTTTTGTCTGTAGATATGATGTATAGAATGATATCAAGAACCAAAAGATAAAAGGCAGCATCTGTTCAATGGCATGCAACATCAGGACTGCAAAGTATCATGCTCAAATGTAAAAATCACACATCAAATTTTGCAAGTTCAACCTTATTTACTTTGTTAAATGTCCTCTACATCTGGAAAATTCCCTCCTTGATAGTTTTAAATGGGAATTCACGGTTGTTTTCAGTTATTATATAGATTCTGGAAAGGTCAAGGGAAAAATCATTTAGTCTTACTTTATGTGCCATTAAAAAAATTTAATTAACACAGCACATTTCTTACATGCCCTTTTTTAATATGTATGATGGACTAACTGTATTCTACCCTTTCTTTGTCATGACAAATATTTTGGAAATTAAAGTGTCATTGACACACCTGCAAAAATGTGTTCCTTGTGAAACAGGATCCTCCATCTTTTATTCTGCTAAAGAATGAACAGTTTTAGTTTAATCCCAAAAATATTTACACTGACGTTAATCTCGGGTGCAGATGGAAGTATGGACAGACACTTGTGGAGTTTCTGCCAATCAGGTCAAGAACTTAATATGAATTTATCTGTATCTAGAAGGACTAGCACGAGATATTTACTAATCCTTCTAAATCTTCACTAGTCCTTCTTCACTAACTACTAACTTTAGCATCCATTCAAAGTTATGAAAACTGCTAGTCCATCAGGAAATATACAAGCCCCCATCTAATGGATTATAAGTATTTTTAGTCCTGTGAAAATGCAGGCTCAGTTATCAATATTTTATTGAAGCTGAAAAGTTGATTACTTTTTCTACATAATTCTGATTTCATCTGATTCATGGTTAAAATATTTGTGGTGTTGATGAGAATACTGCGATCACTGGTACTAAACCCAGTGTATTTGGGAAGAGGATACATATTTTTTTTCTTGATTCCTGGGTTCAAGACTTCAAATTCAAATTAACACGTGTCCCATACCTAAGGACTTTTCAGCCCCAGGATAAGGATCATATTTGTCTGAAAATAAATAACTCTTTGTTGGATCTTCAGATCTGCAGTCTACAACTACAAAATCATCCATAAACTGGTTCACCATGACAATGAATTAACATCCTCTCTTTCATGGACACTGATATCTTAAGTCAGGACTTACTGTGAAAAAAAAACCCAGGTATACCATTGGGTTGTCTAACAAATAACTAGTATTGCATGTAATTATGATAAAACAGACCATCACTAAAGTGGAAGAAATCTTTCTGCTTTCAACACGTTTTCTATGGTCACTCTGAACTAGAAACTGCATAATCTATATGGTAGAGTTGTACAACATAAAGTACTGTAATCTACACAGCAATAGTTTAATACAATATTACAGATCAGACACTATTATCAACTATCTTGACCAGCCAAGGCTCTGATATTATAACCGCATTTACACCTTGGCATATCGAGAAGATATTTCTGTGCTATATATTTCTACTGGCGGTCAGTATTTGTTTGCTCAAATAAACCTTGATGGCTTCTGTTTGGTAAGTAGTCAAACTTTCAAAGTTTAACTTACAAATTATTTTTTTAAAAAGCCTCTACAATTTTCGGACAATGTACTATGTGCTTCTGTTACACACTAAGGGAGGCAATTTGTAAGAGCGTGTGATTTGGATTTTAACATAGATTTATCAATTTTTCAGTCATATCACTATGATGTCTGCAGTGTGGCAGTTTAGTCATGTCTAGCACTGGGGCATCATGCCACAGAGATGTAGCAAAATGTCCCACCCAGTCACATTATATCCTGACACCAGTCCAACCAGTCCTAAGACGAACCTCCTAATGCTGAGTGAGGCGAGGCAGCTGTTAGTACCATTTTTATACGTCTTTGGTATGACTCGGCTGAGGATAGAACCCACAACCTCTCGCATCCAAGGCGGACACTCTAACCACTAGGCCACAGTAGTTGTGAGGCAACTTATGAAATCTAATAGATCTTGCTAAGACAAAGCACTAAAATATCTGTTCAATCTGCCAAGGTGTAGATAGCGTTATCCTATTGCAACCTTGGCAAGCAAAGATGTATATATACATGGCATAACAGGTTTTTGATCAAGTGGAAAAGCACATGATAAGAACTCTGTAAGCATTTTTTGTTGATCCTATAGCATAATAATAAAAAACAAGAATTCCTAAAAGTAGTCCACTTTAATAAATACTCACCGAAAATCTCAAAATAATGTAACTATTACATTATGGCATCAGCTGTCATTTAATGTACCAAGGTCTACATAATGCTAGGAATTCGTTGCAATTTAACATGTTCCAATGTGCTTGCAAATTCGGCCTCCTTAAACAAGATCACAAAAACTTGTATGCAATTATTTGCAAGCACAAGTACACAAAAATAATAAAATCAACTAAAAGTATACAATTCCTTTTTAAAACTTTTACAGCTTATGACCTACCAAAGCAGATTTTCCGTTACCGAAACATTTTTTACTCAACATACCCTACTCTTTGTGTATTTTATAAAAAGTCCATTTCATCAATTTTTAAACACTTATTCGGCTATATCATTTTTACAGCCCTTTCTGCTAAACAAGTTTTTAGTGTTCCAAAAGCTTTCAAAAGGGTATTCTGTCTTGTGGAAACTGACCCCTCTCCATATGTGACTTTCTTAACAACCAACGAAGTGTGTCATTTGATTATCCAAATTTTACGCCATTTGCTTTTATTTTCATTCATTACAAGTAAATGAGAAATTCTTGACTGCATATGTGACATACAATTCAGTTTTAATCTTTTATATGCAATGAGATTTTCAACAATTTGAAGGACATTTTAAAAATAAACCAACTTTACTGAAATTCAGAAAAGGTAAATTTAACTAACATTAGTGCAACAAAAATCCCTAACAACCAACTTTACATTGCTTGGACTCTTAAGCTATGTAAAAATATTGGTTTCAAAATTTTTAATTTTTGTATTTAATTATGGAATATTGCCAACATTTGATGAATGAATTTCCTGAATTTGCAGTATTATTAAGTATTTTAGATCCTTACAAGCCTTTCATGGCAATGAAGTTTTTAGCCCATTACTTAATGTTTTGTTAGTTATTTTTTTTATATTCAAACTCATATGTTTGGCAATCTTGAGCCCCAATTTTGATGGACACAAGTGATATGACCATGAATCTCACAAGCATACAGAAATTTCTGTCTGTAATAGTTGTAGGTAACAGTGAACATTCTGGACTACCATCATGTACCATATATACCCGTATATAATACAGTCAATTGAAGAAACTCATGGTTTACTGTATTTGCTATACATCTCAAGTATAATGAGCAGAGTATGCTCTGGCCTGCTGGAGCACTATGCTTTGGCAGATCTGATCTATGACATGTTCCCAGTCTGGTGCACATTAAATGTATCATATGGTATTCAACTCCTTTATATAGGAACTTCTTTATAGCTTTAACAGAATGGAGAAGCTGTTGGATCAATTGTTTTAAAAATATCCTTCAGCTGTTTATCTGGTTGAGGTGGAGGCTGCATTTGTAATGATTTTAAAATATCACTAGTTGTAACACTGGGTCCAGATTCAGGTTCAATAGGTAATACAACAGCCCTTTGTCCATTATTTCTATTGTCTGCCTGTTTGGCCTGAGGGGTGGGTTTATTTGGAATGGGTTTATTATAGCTATTATAACCCAAACCATCAGATCCTGAACTATCCAATCCAAGTGGAGAACTATATTCCATACTGCTCTTTCTCTGACCAGAGAAATTTTGGTTTGTAGGCTGTTGAGGTGGTGATTTGTTCTGATAAGAATCAGATTCAGATGAAGGGGACACATCACCAGAAGTTGCTGTCTGGTTCAATTCCTTTGGCTTCCTTCGAAAACGTGGATCATTTCTATGGTCCAATTTTTTGGTGTTTGGCGAGTCATCACCACTATTAGACAGTTCCAAATTTGCCTTTTCATTAGATGTGCCTGGTTGACTCATTTGTCTATGAAAACCCTGCAGATTTCCACTTCCTCCAATTTCTGAAGTTTGTAACCTACTTAATCTTGGATCCAATGGCCTAGAATTTGAGTTGTCTCCAATAGAAGCCTCCAATTTTTGCAGTCTAGGATCTGACAATTGCCTTCCAAGGGCTTTAGAATCCTGACCCATCCTAGGATCTGATGGAACACTTGTTGATTCATAGGATGGGCTCATTTTAGACAACCGTGGGTCTGTCAAACCTTGAACATTTGAACTATTTAATCTTGATAATCTTGGATCTGTAAGTCTTTGGTTAGAAGTGCTTGCCTGATTAGAATCCTGTCGCAAAAATCGTGGATCAACAAGCTGTGGTGGTAGATGATGCATTCCAAGCTGACTTGGGTTTGAATTATTTCTTTGAAGTCGAGGATCGATGATTTTGTTCATAATGCTCTGATCTACTGCACCTTTCTGCAATCGAGGATCCAAGGGTTTACTTTCCACTGATGCTACATCTTTTCTAGTTAGTCTTGGATCCTCTCTTTTCATAGTCTTTGTATCTGTTAGTCCCATGCCACTATCTGAATCCTGTTTTGCTAACTTTATTTCCAAATTTGAAGTCTGAGAACTAGATTTGATACGAGGATCCATGGGTTTTGATTTTTCCTTCTCACCTTGAACCTGTTCTTTTAATAATTTCTGAATCCTTGGGTCATGCTTGAAAAGCGAATCTGTTATATCTAAATGGGAAGGAATTGTTCTTGTTTTCTTTTCTAATACAACTTTAATTAGCACAAAAGGTCTATCTCCATCCCGAGAGTTTATGTAACTTGGTTCTGCTGGGGCACTCAGCTGTAACAGACGTGGATCCAAGGGACCTTGACTTGTGGCACCAAATGGTGGTCTCTGTCCTTGAGAATCTTTATTTTGCAACCTGAAAGGAAGAGTTTTTACAACTTTCAACTATGCATATATAAATATATATATATATATATATATATATATATATATATATATATATCTTTTGTTACAGTTCAATCAAGTGGAATGATATGCAAATTATTAAGCAAATTACTTTTTCCTGGATGCAAATTCTTTATACTTACTCATTTCATTTGTTTTTCTTTCAATATTTTTGATAATTACTTAAGTTCCACAAATGAAAGCAAAACTTGATAATGAATATAAGCTTCTACTGAACAGACAAAACGAACAACTATACTGATAATATTTCCCTCTGGTAAACTTACGCGTCTCCATCTGGTCCAGTGGTTTTGGTACTCTGATTGCGAATGGCATTAATCATCTGCATCACATTCAATGAGGAACTTGATGAAGAAACAGGTGGAGGATTGGACTCGGCACTCTAAGAAAATTTAAAGCAGCACAATGAACTCAATGTCCACACCTGAACAAAAACTGATAGGTATATAAAAAATTCACACTGCTGTTTTACTCCTGCTACAGTTTGCTGTGATTCTAATGAGCAGACATTTCAACCTTCAGCTAAACTCGAAATAATATTAGCATGTCCTTATAGTCATGTTGAGATGTCATTATTTTATTATAATCTGTGGATAATTAGCTACATAGAAAAAAAGCATAATGATTACATTAAATGTGTAATGTAGGATTACATGTAGGATTATGCTGGCCATAATGGACATCAGACTGGCAACATATCCAACTAGGACTGACTAGACATCACAGCTTTAATATTGATGTGACCAACAAAATCTAGGAGAAGTAGCAACTATAAGCTCTTAAAGATGGACAATGGCAGACATATTAGTAGTCAGATCAGCATAAATCTTTGAGCAAAAAACACCAAGATGACATGAACATTCATTCTGGAGTACTGATTACAAGATTTTCAAGATGACGACTGTGGCTGCCATATTGGATGAATGAGCTAGCTGCACTATTTTCAACCATTAAAACTCCTTTAGTATAAACCACATCCTGGTGAAAGAGCTACAATAAGAATTCAAGATCACATGTCAAAGTTGCACCCATTTCATTTAGGACCATCTAGATATCACAAGAAGTCCTCAAGCTGAAAACTCCATTGCTCCAGTGTAATACCACTTTTCTTTCAGAGTAAATATAAAATTTAAAGCCACAATGCTAACATGCCAACCCTTACAATGGTGCAAGCATGCTCCAAGCATAAAAGTGTAACCTATACATTACACGCCAGAATTACAATAAACAGTATGAAAAAAGTACATTTTTAGTTGTGCTATTACATTGGATCTGCAGCTGGTTAAAATTATTAGTGCAACTGGGCAAAAACATGAGAATCAGCATCAAACACAAATGCAAAATATATTGACAAATTAATTTAAAGTAATGTCTTTTGTACTGAACGTCCACACAGTCTGCAATAAGCATGATGATGTGTTAAATCTGCATGCTGTATCACATCATTCACATAATCTTTTAAAATTTATAAAGCGCTATTGACTTATTATCTGCGATTTTTTTAAATTAAGAAAGAAGCCTCTCCTCTAACATTTTTCAGTCATTAAGACCTGCCAACCCTGACAAGACCATCACAGTAAGCAGGTGATTTATATCCATAAGGCTAACTATTTTTCAGTAAGTGTAACAAAGTATCATAAACAACTATTGCAAAGCTGGAAGACATATTTAAAAGTTCAGTATTGAAAACATGCAGCAGCAGTAACCATTATGTTCAACTGGAAAAATTTGTGAAGTACATTTAGACATTATTTACCACTAGAACAGTTGCCCAAACTTCAGTTTCAAACTTTATGCAGCTCAATGGCTCATTATCTCTCAACACGATGTAATCCTTAGATTTTGTTCAATTTCACAGACAACAGCAATCAAATGCTATTTACAAGGTCTTTTGCCAAATACACATTCTGGGTGTAATATTTACTTTTTTGGATTTAATCATGGTTTCATTATTAAATTTGTTTGTTTTTATCCCCATAAATCC